TGCCGGGGGCCCCGCCTCCTGTCCTCCCTCTGTCTCTCTGGGCCTCCATCCCTCCAGAGGCAGCCAGGGCCTCCTAAGCTGGGACCGTGAGCGCAGCTGGGGCTACTTACCAGGCTCTGAGGGGGAGAAGGCACCAGGGTCCAGCGAAATGCAAGCCTCTTTCAGGCTTGCCCACTGACCCCCTGCTAGGGAGGTGGCCCCAGGGAGTCCCGCCCCCGCCTGGCTGAGCAGTGTCTCGAACAGAAATCTGGAGGGGGAGAATGCTCTCTTCCCTCAACCCCAGGCGTACACAGGGGCCCTGGAGCAACCCAAAGAACCTCAGGGATGGCTGAGGGAAGGCTTCGTGCTCTAGGCCTGGCAGGCCCAGCCCAGAGCGAGCCTTCAGTTGGTCAGAAGATTGACACACCATGTAGGCAGCCCCAAGGAGCCAGGGGTCCTAGGCTTGAGCCTCAGCAAGCCGGAGACAGGAAGCCAGAGGGCCCTAGAGTTGGGGGTCTCAGGTCTAAGTCAGACCAAGCCTGTTGGCAGGCAGCCAATGTCCCAGCATCCCTAAAGAGCTGGGGATCCCAAGCTTGAGCCCCAGCAAGCCTGAGACAGGCAGCCAGCATCCCAGTGGCCCCAGAGAGCTGAGGGTCGCAGTCCTGAGGCAGGGCAAGTCAGAGGCTGGGAGCCAGCCTTCCAGCAACCCAAGCAGAATTAAAGTCCCAGACCTGAGCTAGCGCCAACTCATGGAATCATGGCATGATTGGGCCCAGCTGGCTGGGTGCCCAAAAGGATGAAGTATCTTCCCTTTTTTTTTTTTTTTTTGGTTAGGCCATGGAGTTAAGTGACCTGCCCAGGGTCGCGCAGCTATTTAGTGTTATGTGTCTGAGGCCAGATTTGAACTCAGGTCGTCCTGAATCCAGAGCCGGTGCTCTATCCACTGCGCCACCTAGCTGCCCCTATGGAGTGTCTTCTAGGAAGGTCAGTGACAAGCCGGATACAGTGCCCAGAGAATGGCCTGGGAAGGATGGGGCGAGAGGTGGCAGGGCAAGCTTGGAGACTGAAACTCATCGAGGACCCAGGCAATGTTTGCCTGGAGGGGGTGGGGGAAGCAGAAACCCTTGTGGAGGGAGGTACGATACCTCCCTGCCCTGCCCAGGGCCTCCTTCCTGGGGCTGGGCACACAGAGCCCCCTGGTGGGCAGCCAGGTGGCACGGGTCTCCAGAGTCAGCCAGGAGACATGGAGGGGAAGGGTTCCTTCCCTGCCAGGGGCTGGCCCAGGGTCACACAGCTAGGAAGCACTGGATTCACTTGCCATCGGTGGAAGACGAGGTGAGGGTGTATAGGGTGTGTCCTTGGGAGCTGACGGGGCAGGGGAGGCCATTGAGCTCCCTCCCACCCCTGAGGAGTTCCCGGGGGCCTGGCAGCCCATGTGTGGCCAAGGGCAGACACTGGTCCAGAGGCGGCCCAAGCCCCTGGTGGGGGCTGGCACAAACTAGGGCAGGCTGCTAGCCAAATGGGCCAGACAGAGACCAGGTGGGCTTGGAAGGGGAAGGATGCTGGAACCGAGGGCCTGTGCCAGCAAACTCTGGACAAGCCCGAGTCTCTGAGATCCTCAGAGACTGAGCAAAGCTCCAAGCTGCTTCGAGTTAAAACACTGGATCAGGGCCCAGATCCCTCTTCCACAGCACCCACACTCTCCACAAGTGGTCAGCCACCAGCCTGCTTGCAGACCTCCAAAGACAGGGAGCTCACCACCTCCCTGCCAGCCTCTTGCACTCTGGATCTGCGGACATCCACGAGCTCTTGGCTCTGCCCTCTGGGGCGGAGGAGAACAAGGCTGATAAAACCCTCTGCTCTTCTGTCATCACTCAGCAGAAGGAAGGAGTCGTCCACTCCCCTGGCGGCCAGCCCATTTCTGGTGAGAGGTTTCAGCCCTGCTGCAGCGGCCTCTGCGGTCGTGGGAGCAGGGCTCCCTCCTCCCTGGCCACCAGCCCTGCTGCTGATTGGGGTGAGCTCTGCTGGAGGCCCTGGTCAGGGCTGTGGCTGGGGGGCGGCAAAAGGGCTAGGACCTAGGATTGGGCCTGTGCCGCCACTGACCCCCCTCCCCACCCTGATCCGGGAGCCCCAGGAGATTTCCTCTCCCAGTCCAGGCAGCTCTGGGGTTTCAGGTCCTTTCCCTGGGCCTGTTCTCTCCTCTGTAACCGGGTTCCCGGCTTCTCTCCCCTTCCTTTCTCAGCCGTTGACGCCCACTTCCTCCCCTGCACCCTGGCATCCTCACCCTTCTGCAGCCTTTGAGAAAGTCCCATGACCCCCTCCTCCCTCTGTCCTACTGCCCCAGGTGACCTCATCGGCTGCCATGGACCAACTGACAGACTGTCACACCTGCCCGTCCTGGCTCCAGGGCTGGTGTGCCACCCAGCTGCCTGTCGTAACCTCTCCGCTGGGACCCGTCTCGCATCTGGACGTCCAGCGTGTGCAAACAGACCTCCTGACCTTTCCCCCAAAACAGTCAAGGGTGACAGCCCCTCCCTGGGCCCTCCTGCCCCGTGGCCCCTAGGCCAGGAGTCCTTGGGCTCTTCACCCGTTCTCCCGCAGACTCGGCCCCCTGCTGACTGTGCATCGTCCTGTTCTCTGCAGCACTTAGCCCAGCGCCTGGCACTCGCTGACCTGCCCCCCTCCCCGTCTCTGATCTGTTGTCCAAGTCTGCGGACTTCACCTCTGCAGCCTCTCCCAAATGGGCCCCCACCCCGCACCAGCCTTCACCACCTCATGCTGCTGGGGTGGGAGTCTGCCAGCGTCAGTCTCCCCACCGCTGCCCTCCAGTCCACCAAAGGCCTGATGTCACTCAATACATTCCATGGCTCCCTATTCCTCCAGCATCAAGTCCGGGATCCTTCATAACCCGGTCCCCTCCTACCCTGCCAGTCTCCTCACATCCCCATGGACCCCAGCGTTCCAGCTGGCCCCTCACACACGACCTCCATCGACCGGCTCTGCGCATTTCTCTGGCTGCGCTCATCCTCACCTCGGAGGATGCCTTTCCCAATCCCTTTCTCCCATCTCTGGACACCTCCCCCTCTCCTGACCTTGACAAGCCTCTCCAGGCAGAGGAGGCCCATTTCTCCATGGCCAGCCCAAGTTTCAGGCCCACATCACCAGCTACCCACTGGGCACCTCGAAGGGGACATCCCACGGCCTCACGAGTCGACAGCTTCCTTTCTTCCTCCAGATTCGCCACTTCTATGGGAGGCACCGCCATCTTCAGGCCCCCAGACTACCCCATCACTCCTCGACCCCAGCTACGCCATCGGCTGTACGTCCCCATCGTGTCCCACGCCCAAGGCCTTCCCTCCGCTCGCCGGCCCTCATCCCTCTACCTCAGTCTCCCCTAGACCAGTCCATCCTCCTTCACGGCAGCTCTGACCACGCGCCTGGCCTCCAAACCAGCTTCAGCGGATGCTCAAATAGAAACTTCTCTGTCTGGTTTTTAAAGCCCTTCAGAGCCTGCCCTGACCTCCCTTTCTACTTCAAATAGAACGACTGTGTGCACATACACACTTCAAATATATTCACATACATAACTGTTACCTCCCCGTTAGAACTCACGGCTCCTCATGAGAAGTTTCGCTCTTCCCTCCCCAGTGCCTAGCACAGTGCTCAGTGAGGAACTGCCCACCAGCCCCAAGCTCCCCAGAGCTTTGGACATCTCAGCAAGTCTCAAAGTGACCTCGCTATGCGCGTCTCCCCAGACTACCCCCTCTTTGTGCTGAAGGCCTCCTCCCCCTTCCTGCCTCCCTGCCCGACAACCTTGGCGTTATCCTCCCACAGTGGCCCGTTTGGGTCAGGCCCCGGGCTGTGGCCACACATCCCATCCTCCCTCCACACTGCCTAGCTCAGACCACATTCCCTACCTCCACAACCATCTCCAGCGACTTCCTACTGGCTCTAGGCGCAATCAAACTCCTACCTTTCACCAGCCAACCTCACTCTGGCGTCTTTCCGGCACCGAGTGGTCCAGCTAACACAACACTTATCTCCCACCTCCAAGCCTTTGCACTGGCTGCTGCTTGTGCTCACCTCCACGGTCTCTTCCTTCAAGACCCACTCATACACCACGTTCTGCATGAAGCCTCTCGATTGCTCTCCCTGGCCCCACCCACCCAGCTCTGGTTTTGTGGGCAGTTATGTCCTTGTGGTCCCCCGTCAGACTCAGCTCCTTTCTGGGCAGGAGTGGTTTTGTTCATTCATTAGCCGTGTCCCCAACGCCCAGCGGCGGATGCTTGCTGACCAGACCTTGCCCCAAAGAGTCAGACACAGCTTAGCGAGAACTCCAGGCCCTTCTCTGCGGTCTGCTAGAGAGCTCCCTGAGGCTGGGCGAATAGGAAACTCAAAAGGCCCTTCCCAGGACTGCTCAGAGGCCAGCTCAGGGGCCCAAGTCAGAACTGGGAGTCAGATGGGCAGACTGAGGAAGCCCAGAGAGGGGAGGGGCCCGGTCTAACACCCAGCGTCGTCAGCAGCCGAGGAAGCGTACCTTTGATCCCACGGGCTGCCTTCTCTCATCCTTCCGGCCTCTGCCGCATCTCCTACCACCCAAGGTCAGCTCCTCCTCCCCTCTCATCGGGACTACGGCGACAGCCTCCAATACTGCCTTTCTGCCGCCAGCCTCCCTCTCATCGCCCATCCACCCATTCCCCAGGTGCCAAAGGGATTTTCCTGAAGTCTGGGTCTATCACCCCACCTCTGCTCCAGCAGGTTCCCCACGGAGCCTCCGCTAGCAGCCAATGCAAGCTCCTGAGCCCTGGAGCAGACCTCTGCACTCCCTCTATGCCCCAGCCCAGCACTGCATCGCTAGCTTCCTTCAAGGCTCAGCTCAGGAGGGCATCCGGATCTCCTAGCTGCCTGAGGAGGCCAACAGAGCTAGCCCTGTGGGGCTGTCCCCAGTCCCTGGCCCAGGCCTTCCCAGCAGCACCCCAAGCAAACGGCAGGACCAACGGAGGGCAGCAGCCCACGGAGGCTCGGGTACTCCAAAACACCTTTTATTTGCCTGGTGAGCCTCCTGCCCCTCCCTCACCTAGAGGAGATCTGACACCCCAAGACAGAGCTCCAAGCCCTCAAATCGGACAACAAGTAGAGAGTTCGGTTCCTCAGAGGAGATTATCTTCGTTTCTGGAAAATATTGCCCCTGCCCATCCCACGTCCTCTTCCTCTGGCAGCCACTAGACAGGGGGAAGAAAAACCAGAAGTCAGGCCAGGCGCGAGGCGCACACACGTGCAGGTGAGCGTGTGGCCTCCCTGCCCTTCCCCCTCGGGCCCAGTCAGACCCTCCCAGAAGCCTCCCCCACGTTTACATCCGGGAAAAGCCGAGAGAGCCCAGGGCAGGCTGGCGGGCTACCCACCCTGGGCCTTCAGAATGGCTGCTTTCCCTCGGCCAGCCCCGGAGCCCTGGTTTTTATTCTTCATGCTTTTCAACATCGGGGCGTTCTTCAGCATGTCCGGCAAGATCAGGAAGCGGATTTTGCTCCCGCGGATGTAAACCTGCTCCAGCTGGGCGACTCGTCCGTCTCTGTACGTGACTGTGATGTTTGACATCTGCAAGGGAACCCAGTGGCCAGTCAGGGGCCCTGCCTCTGCCTCCGCGGGTAGGCGGGGGACCTCTCCCTCTGTCTCGCTCCACCCGGGGGCGATGGCCGTGGGAAAGAGGCTGACCACAGATCTGGCGAGTCAGGCAAGAGGCACAGCGAGGTGAAAGGTGTTGAGGCGGGAGGTGGAGTGCTGGTTATGACAGACAGCAAGAAGCCAGTCTGGCTGGATCACAGCGTGCAAGGGCAAGTAAAGTGAACGAGGCTCCAGGGGGCCAGATCAGGAAGGGTGTCTGCTGGACCCCAGAGGCAACCGGGAGCCCCTGGAGGTCGAGGAGGCGGGTATGAGGCCAGATCTGTGCTCTCCTTGGCGTGTGTGCCCAGGATAGAGTTCAGGCGGGGGACCCACCAGCAGGCCCCGGCACAGCACAGGCACGAGGCAGCGCCCCCTGCACCACAGTGGCGGCCCATCACAAAAGTCAAAACGGGCTTTGGCAGCAGACTGGACCCAGGGGTGACGGGAACTAAGGATAATGAGGCTGAGGGCAGCAGCCTGGGAGGATGGCGCTGAGGAGGGAGGGGGATCGGGGAGGGCCGGGTCAGTTTAAGATGCTTAGGAGGCATGATATCCAGCTGGAAGTGGGACACAGCACCTGAGAGGTTGGAGCTGGACGAGCAGATCTGAACATCGTTAGCGTAGAGATAACGGAAGCCATGGATGCTGAGAAGATCACTGAGAGATGGGGGCAGAGCCAGAGGGGACACCTACCACTGGCCCGAGGAGGCCCCTTCCAGACGTCCCCCCACCCCCGCAACACCTCTGCTTCCCTGACCCGGCACCCTTCCAACGAGGGCCCCCAGACCCCTCACCTTCACCCTGCCAGATCCAACGTGGGACCAAAGCCCGTCCATCTCACCTTGGCAGAATCTCTGCTCCAATCCGCTCCCTCCTCTCCCGACCCCCACCGCTCCCCCGGTGCAGACCCTCCTCACAGTCTGCCTGCCTCGGTCTCTCCCCTCTCCAGTCCGTGCCCTGTTCAGCCACCAAAGTGATTTTCCTAAAGCGCAGGTCTGACCCCTGCTCTCAGGCTGTCTGGCCTTCAAAGCCTCTGTAATTAGGCCTCTCCTGACCCTCTCGGCACCTTCCGCTTTCTCTGCTCCTTGTCCTCTATGATCCAGCTGTAAATACTGTCCCTCAAAGACAACACTCCATTTCCCACCTCTGCACCTTTGAACTCGCTGGCCCTCTCCATGCCTAGAACACCCTCCCTCTTTACTACCTCCAGGAGTCCAAGCTCAAGGTTCGAATCCCACCTTCTCTGAGAAGCCTCTGCTGGTCCTTCCCCTTCCCCGGTTGTACAGAGCTGCCTGCCTCACCTCCTCCCCGCAAGCGCCCTCAGGGGAGGGGGAGGGTCTGCCCTGCTCTCCCCGGGCTCACACAAGCTGCCTGCCTGCCTGCCTGCCTGCCTTTTGATCAGCTCCTCCCCCTGTGCTCCCAGGCTCCTGGCTTGCCCCTCCTGTCTCTGGGCTCTGGTTCACAGCCTGCAGCTCAGCTGCCCAGCCCCCGTGCCTGCCGACACCACCATCCACTCCCTGAACCTGCAACCTCAGGGCAGCCTTGGCTCAAACCATTCCCTCTCCAACCCCTCCTACCACCTCCTCCTCGAAACCTTCCCCGCATCCTCGAACTGGGAGCACTAAGCCTGAGTCAGGGAAGGTCAAATCCAAACCTGACCTCAGAAACTGGTGACCCTGGGCATTAGTCAGTCTCCTCAGTCGGGAAATGGGATCATAACAGCACCTGCTCCAGGCCTGCAGTGAACCTCAAAGGGGATAATTAATAGCTGTCAGGTGCTCTGCAAACCCAGAAGCATGACACGGATGTTATTACTGTTATAATTATGATCCCCAGGGAGGAAAGCTCCCCAGCCCCAGCACCACTTGCCTGCCTGGGGGGCCAGGCCCAGCACTGCCCCCTCCCACAGGGAGTAGCTGGCCCTGCTGGAAGCTCAGGCCTCTCACCAGCACGGAGTGAGGAAACCCCCTCTGCCCAAAATGAGACTCAAACCGGGGTTCTCAGGTTGTTTTGGGGGTTGAATTCCATCACCCCAAAAGAGGACATTCACAGAGAGAGCAACGATCGTCCCTGGAGACTGCAGCAGCCTAGAGGTGAGCAAATGTGGCCAAGCCACGACGCGAGCCCGGGTCCGTCTCCCTACTGATGCCCTTGGCTTTGCTGCCAGTGGACTTTCTCTTCAAGGTTTCCTGGGTCTTGGTTGCTAACTATGATGACCTCGTGTCACCAGGGTCCACATCCCCAGCTCCTGGAAAGAAACTGCCCAACCGTGGCCTATCCCCTTTGTGCACAGGGCGCCCGTAACCCAAATTCCCCTCGACGAATGAAGGCCACATGGAGCTGCCGAGACAGAGACGAGGTACCTGGCAGTTCATGTTGTCCTCGGCCTCAATCAGCTTGCCGCGGTACACCTCCCCCGTGTTGGTTTCACAAGTGACGATGTGTCCCTCCGCCTCATGCAGGACCTTGATTGGGACGCCGATCGACATTCTGAGAGAAAGAAGCTGTGGGCACCAAATGGGGAACACTGGTAAGGCACGTCAGGAAACCGGGCTCTGCAGGACAGCAGCCAGGCCTTCCCCGAGCCTAGCACCCTCCGTGACCTCTCAGGGCCACCCAGAGACCCAAACCAGGCAGGGACAGCCCCGAAACCCTGAGGGTGCCCTCCAGCTCTCCGTACCAAGGCCCAGGTCCGAGGGAAAGGAGGCTGTCACACAGAGAAGACGGACAACCAAGGGCAACTCTGGGGGCCAGAGAGAGAAGAGGGACCCATCGCACCAGATATACCCCCTCCACACCCTGGGGAGGCATCCAGAACCAGGAGAAAACAGACATTTCTGGACAAGATCAAAAGACTGTGTCTCCAGAGGGGGCACCTTAGTGGAGCACCCCTATGCCCAAGGTCCAGGAGGCCTGGGCAGCACCTGGGATAAGGAGGAGGAAAAAGAAGGAACAAACATTTATGTAGCACCTGCTAAACGTCAAGCACTATACAAAGTAAGCGCTTTGTAGACATTGCCTCAGCTGATCTTTGCAACAACCCTGAGAAGTAGGTGCTGTTAGTATCCCCATTTTACAGAGGAGGAAACTGATTCACACACAGGTGATTCAGAGCTTGTAACACGGCTAGTGTCTGAGGCAAGACATCAACTCATTGATTAAGAGCCCACCAGGAGCCAGGCACCATGCTGAGAGCTGGGGATGCAGAAAGAAGGCAGGCCCAGCCCTCAGGACCCTGGCCATCTAGGGAGACTCAGACAACTCTACACACAGCAATCTATGGGCAGGAGAAATGGGAAGAGTCTAGCGGAGCTAGGGGAGTGAGGGAAGGCTGCCCGGGTGGAAGGGGGACTGGAAACCCGGGAGGCCAGCAGCAGGGAGGGGGGTGTGGGGGGGAGGGG